CACACAGACCACCTTTTACCACACAGACCACCGTCACCACACACACAGACCACCTTTTACCACACAGACCACCGTCACCACACACACAGACCACCGTCACCATTACACAGACAAGATCACCACACACACAGACCACCTTTTACCACACAGACCACCATCACCACACACAGACCACCATCACCACACAGACAACGTCACCACACACACAGACCACCGTCACCATTACACAGACCACCATCACCACACACACAGACCACCATCACCACACAGACAACGTCACCACACACACAGACCACCATCACCACACAGACCACATCACCACCACTCATGACATAGAACACTGTTTCCTCCACCGTCACCACACAGACCACCATCGTCACCACACAGACCACCACCACCCTACACACAGCAGTTACCACCACAAAGATCTCCCTCCTGCTGGCCCCAAAGGTCTCGTACACAGCACACTCAAGTGTTCTCCATCTCCAGTCTTGTCATTGCAACAATGCTTCATAAATGGAATTATATAGGAAGTGACCTTTTCAAACTGGCCTTGCTCCTCTCAGTGCCCTTGCTATTCACGGGAGGCACTGTGTGTACCTTTATCTCACCATTTCTACCACTGAGCAGTGTTTATTCTATCTTAAGTATGGTTTTGACAACAATCTTTTTTAGATCATAAAGGCAACAAAAGCTGACTGTAATAAACTTTAACTTTGCCAAGAAAAGTATCAATAAGAAAAGGAAATTATTAACCTTACTAGTAATCAAAGAAATGTATGTTAAAATGGCAAGAAGCTGATTTTCACCGCACGGACTGGGAAGGAAGGAGAAGGCAGTAGAGGTAGGTCCCCCAGCAGCCCCCAGGGCCCTCACCTTCTGGTGCCCAGACCGTCCTTCAGCATCGCACCACCACCGTGGAACAGAGCTGCTCCAGAGACCAACAGGGTGTGGGGAGGGGGGGGGCTGGTAAGTGTGACCTCTGAAACTAGTCACAGGAACACCAGAACTTCCCTCCCAAGGACACAGAAGCACCCCTGGGGAGAGGTCCATTTGCTAAGGAACAGGGCCTTCTGCCAACAGCACAGCTGTGCCATCCTGGAAGTGGATCTTCCAGCCCCAGTCAAGCCTTCAGCCTTGGCCAACATCTTTTTTTTTTTTTTAAATTTTGTGTGAGTGTACCGTCAAATCAGATCTGACTGGTACAGGAGGAGATTGTCCCTCCTTCCCCGGCAGAGCATCTGGTGGATTCAAACCGTGCGCCTCTGGGATTGTAGTTGCAGGTGCCTTGGCCAACATCTTGACGGCCACTTCACAAGAGACTCCCACACTCAAACCATCCAGCTAAGTCACTGCTGAATGTCTAACCCATAGGAACTGTGAGATAAGGAATATTTATTGTTTTAAGTCATGAATTTGGGGTAATTCATTGTACACCGATGGACAACTAATACAACTGGTTCAGACCCAGAAGCTCAGGAAGCAGGGCAGTTGTCCCCTGTTCTCTCAGGGATGCACGGAGTGGGGAGTAGCCGGATGGCAGAAGTAAGCTTTAATAGGAAAGGCCTCGATCCTCTCACGCCCACCTCGGCTGTGGATGTTCTAGTCCTGACTGCTGCCGGCTTTTCCAATCTACACCACGACGTGTATCTCTTCCAAAGTGAACGAGCAGCGTGCTCTCCCTGTGGGGTGAATCTGGACTCCTCCAGTGAGTTCATGGCAAGTGCATGTACCAGCCTCTGCTCTGGCCTCCTCGCCCTGAAGCAGGATCTTCTGGTTCTTCTAGTTCCCGCTCCCATGTCCCAACCCAGATGGTTTTATGTCCTGTGAAAATGTTCAGCCACCTGGCAGCCCCTGGCCAGACAGAACTGCTGACCGCAAGGACACGGACGGGCTGATGCACTCACCCACGGTCCACCTGCTGGAGCATGAAGGCCGCGGGCACACACCAGCTCTGTGGCCCGCTCTCCAGATCTGAGTGATACGGGGATGGGTCAGTGCTGCTGAGAACGCAGCTCCCAGCAGAACCCACGGCATCCTCGCCAGGTGGGGTGGGCCGCTAAGAACAAATCAGGAAGCAGCAGAGGGAGCAATGAGGACACAGTCCCCAAGGCAGTAAGAAGTCAATTCAGAATCAGTGCTTACGAGCTGCCCCAGGCTTGGAAGCAGAGTGCCCTCCGCCAATGCGGGGAAGAGAAGAGCTCATTTCGGGTCAGCCCACGCCTGCTGTCAAGTCAGTCACGAGCAGAGCTGCCCCGTAGCGTTTCTAAGGTTATGAAATCCTTACAGGAGTAGACTGCCTTGTCCTTCCCCTGTGGAGCAGCGAGTGAATTCAAACCATTTACGTCTAGACCAGCAGCTGGGCATCTCACCACCAGGGCTCCCTCAGGATACACACTCCACAACGACACCACTGACTGTCAATTCCAGGTCGCGGCGACCGCGCGGGACATGGAAGCCCTGCCCCACAAGTGCCCAAACCTGTAAACTGTTCCAGGAGCAGCTAGCTTCCTTTTCCTCCCTTTCAGTTAGCAGCACAATACTGTATCCACTGTGCCACCAGGGCTCCTTTCAAAAGCAAGGGGTTAGGCAAAGAGGGGGAAGTGCGCAGGTGACCCACAATCACATCCATGCCTTAACCTCTCGCTCGAGAAAGAATCCTCACTGCTGTCAGTCAAGGCTAACGCACAGCGCCACTCCTTCTGCTTTCTAAGTAACTAAACCCATTAGATTGTCACAGCTTTCACTGTTCTGTTTCATTTTTAAATATTTGCGTTTGGCCTTTTGCACCTTCCACGAGGAGCAAGGACACCAGTGTCTGAGTTCTGGGTGCTGTGCATACACACGTGAAGGCCCAGGGAGGAGGAGAGGCCTGGCAGGCTGGCCCCACAGAGTGGCCGCGCCCAGGGGAGTTCACAACAGGTGGTGGTGCCTGGGAGGCCCCGTACGGAAGACGTGAATGAGCTGAACCGCTGACGCACAATGCAGCCTGAACAAGTCTTCAGGATCAGTCAGCTGCCATCGGACCACATCTGACTCCTGACGCCCGCCCAGCTGAGAGCAGAGCTGTGTGCCAGGGCTCTGCCAGGGGCTGATTTGGGGAAGGAAAGCACCAGGCTCCACAAACCAGCCTTTCAGTTAGCAGCTGCGTGTGGAGACCGGTCACCCCGCCCAGGCACTTCAGCTGACAGTTACTCAGTAGAACAACACACAACTCCCGGCCTTTGAGTCCGAAACAACTGAGAGTGAGGCAGTAAATCACGCAGGAAGCTATTGCCCACCTTGATCCTGCAGAGTCGTGGGTGGATTTGAACCACCAGAGGGGTACTGCTGGTGGATTGGCAGTGCACATCCCTACAGACTGCGCGAACAGCGCTTCCTTACTTCATAGCAGGCGTGTGTGAATTTCTCCCATGTCTGCACCAGGTATTCCAGCTCCTCTCCTTCCCAGAGATGATAAAAAGAGAGCCGAGATGCCACATCCAACCAAGAAGATGTGGCAGGAACATAAATGCACACTGGCTGATGAAAAAGACAGAGTGCAAAGGCCACAGACTATAAATCTGACTCTGTGACATTCTAGAAAAACAAACTCCAGGGACACTGCACAGGTGAGTAGCTGCAGGGACACAGGGACAGCGGGGAGAGACACACAGCAGAGACAAAACCATCCAGCAGGACACTGTCATGGTGAACACACGGCACTGTGCACCTGACGCGCAGAACCCTAACGCCAACAGTGGACTGCAGCTAACAGTAAACTAGTGACACTGAGCCATTACTTCAGAAACATGCCACATCCACGCGGGATATGTAAACACGAGGAACTGTGTGTAAGGACAGAGCCCACAGGAACTTGGCTTTTTCTGTTACATTTTTCAGTAAACCTAAAATTTTTCTAGAGAATGAAGTAGCTGTCAGCAGTCACTGGGACAGCCCTCGCCCCACGGTGACCCCACTCATAGCGTGATCAGACATGTGACCCACCAGGCTTTCACGGGCTGATTTTCAGAAGAAAGTCGCCAGGCCTTTCTTCCTAGCCTGTCTCAGTCTGAAAGCTCTGCCGACCACTTGGCATCACCGCAGCACACAAGCCTCCACTGACAGGCACCGGCTGGAAATCAAACCCGGGCTCCTGTGTCGCAGGCAGAGTCTACTAATTTTTTGAGACGGTTAGGAGATGCCTTAATAACATCAGAAACACGCCATAATATTGTGACACATCAGGAGGCCTCACACACCGGCACCTGGAATGACATGGACAGAAAACTGCGTCCCTGGGACTCACTTGCAACATACAAGGCGACCCGGTCATTGTCCTTGTGCCGCAGCAGGTTCTCCGCATAGTTCAGACGGCTGCCTTTGAACCACTCGGGCACGTCCACGATGCCTTTCGAAGTGTCCACAACCTGCAGAGAAGGCCAGCAAGTCACACACACAGGAGAGCTACACCAGGACCAAGCCCACGCCTGGAAAAGCCAGCTGACACCCCTCCACCCCCCACCCCACCCCCCCAGCCTGGGGCAGGACAGAATGGCTTTTCAGGAGGCTGAGTTTCAACATCTGCCCAAAGGCCCGAATGCACCACAGACAGCAATGACAGGGGAAGCTGGCCAGGGAGTCATTTTCAGCAAATATTGACTAAGTATCTACTTTGATAGACACTGGAGATGAGAGGCAAAGAAGGGCACGTGGCTCGGGCCAGCATCCCAGGCTCTGACAAGGACAGTAGAGAATCAGGAGCCACGCTGGAGGGCCAAAGGGGGAGCAGGCAGTCCCTGCCCACTGCCCACGATTGCCCAGTTCACTCTTAGTCTACTTCAGGGTTCTGGAACCTCAATTTTCTTATCCAAGTGTCTACAGATGAAGCCTTCAGTGGTTTACCCCACAAGAGACCTAATGGGCACAACAGAGTGCTGAGCAGCAAGAAATGAAGACACAAACAGCTCCCCTGGAGCTGACGACGGCCCTTGGTAACCTGCGTGAGCCAAAGCAGATCTGTGCGCCACTGGTTTTCCACAAGCTGTTGTTTGGACGTGGATCACCAGGCCTTTCTTCCAAGGCACCGCTGGGCAGACTCAAATCTCCAACCTTCCGGTTAGTGGCCAAGTTTGTGTGATAACTGTGTGTCACCCAGGAACTCCTTTTCCCCCAGGAACTAATTTTATTTTTTTCATAAGGAAAATATAAAATTCTCTAAAGCCCATGTGAAAAATAAATCTCCAGGGAGGAACACACTCCTCAGAACCATCAAGTAGGCACAGTCAAAAGGGCAGCATATGCCCAGGGAAAAGGTTCAGAAGCCAAGAAGGAAGAGGAGAGAAGGATGAGTGAAAATGAGAGAGACAGGAAGGAAATGGGAAGCATGCTGTTTTAAGTGAGGGCTGTAACTGTCAGGAAACACAATACGTATGAAGAGGCGAATGGAAAGCCACTTTGCTCTGTCAATTTTCATTCAAATCACCACATTATTTTTTAAATACCCAACTACTTATAGTTTCAAGAATGATGACCGACTACTACGGACAGGTCCCGTTCTCAGGACAGGGCCTGGAATCCACAGACATCAGACCCACAGGTACAGGGTGTCCACAGGGTCCCCAGGCCCCACCACAATCTGGAGCCCATTCTCCAGGGCAATACCTTTCTTCCCACTGATGTAAGGTTTTTAAAGGAGATACGATTTAAGATTCCCAAAATTAACACTTTCTTTTGAAACATAAACGTTGAAAAGATGAGGCATGGGAAATGCCTGCTTACCTCGTCATACATGCGTGAGAAGACAAGTCCGCTGAACTTCCAGAACTCCGCCCAGAAGTCCGGGTACGACTTCACTGACCAGTGATACAAGTCATCATAATTTTCTGGAAATAATAATAAAAGAAACGGCACATGACTCCAACAACCAGACCTCTGTTGTTGCTATGTGCAGACGCACTGACTCACAGTGGCTCCAGGAGACAGCAGGCCTGCCCCTGAGCCTTCTCGGCCGCTATCCTCACAGCATAGGCTCCCAGGCCCTCCTCCAGCAGAGTCTCTATGTGGGTTCAAACCGCCGGCCTTCTGATTAGAAATGGACTGCTTAGCTATTGTACTAGGAGGACTCGTGATGTAATGCTTAGAAGACACGTTTTACCTGTTCCATAGCAAGATGGCTAGTCTAAGGGACGCAGGCCACTGACGATCCTAGTTTGTCTTACAGCAAGCACACCACTAAAAGGAACAAAAGTCACGAGGGCTTTGTGCGGTCCCACTGGTGGTGCTAGTTAAAGCATCTCACTTTTAACCAAAAGGTCAGCAGGTCAAACCATCAGCTGCTCTGTGGGAGAAAAATGAGGCAGCGTGCTCATTTGGGACACCCTCTGGGGCAGTATGACCGCCTCCTGCAGGGTCGCTGTGAACCAGAAATGACTCAATGCAATGAGTCTGGACTTTTGGCTCTGGCACTCACAAGGTGTACTACTATCATTAGTAAACTGCCCAATCTCCTTACTGGACTGCACGCACCTGGTCTGCATGTGGAGTCAATTCTCACTCATGGTGGCCCTCCGTCAGGTTTCTGAGTCTATACTTCTTAACTGGAAGAGAGGCTGCCCATCTGTCTCTCTTAGAGAGGCTGGTGGACTCAAACTGCCAACCTTTTGGTTAGCAGCCCAACACAGCACACCCTATGCCACAAGAGCTCTTATATCCTGATGGGAGGAGAATGTCCATCTTTTTCCCTTGGGCTGCTGGTGAAGTCACCACCACACACCAGGTCCTGCACACCAGGACCCTCCTATCCAATCACAGTCAGGGTTACGAGACCTTGGTGAGTGTAAAACGCTATCGTGGCAACACCCCACCATTAGGCAACCTGCTTCTCCCACTGCAGAACTCCCCACTGGCACATAAAAAGCAGCCTCGTTCTTTCTAAACAACTACACGGCACTCTACCTAGCAAACCTGGGAATTACTTAACTGGAATACGGTTTTTGGGATCACTAGGCTACTTCCATTGCGCCGCTAACAAACTATCCACAGCTATGTTTTTAAACAGCATAAAGGCAGACAACTGTCCAGGAGAAATCCAAACCCAAACCAAGCTCCCTCAGAGGCACAATTACCCGACCCGCCCACGTGAACACAAAACCAGTTCCTCCCACAGCAGCGATCTGAATCTCAGCTTTGCCACTCTAGAGAATGGCCTCTGGCAAGCTGAGCCTCAGCGTACTGTTCTGTAAAATGGGGTCATGACAGTGAAGACCGTGAGAAGTCCTGATGAGAATCAAGAAAGCTTCACCTCAGGAGCACAGGCTCAGGAGTCCCCCTCACCGTCTGGGTCTCAATCCTATGTGTCTCTGTCTAACTGGGCCCCAAACTAGACTGAACTCACTGGCACCGGAGCAGAACTGCTGCTGGGAGTGTGCAAGGCTGTCATCTGTATGGAAGCAGACTGTCACATTGTTCTCCCAAGGGGTGGCAGGGGCTCCGAACCAACAACCTTCTGGTTAGCAGTCAATCACAACATCTGTGCCACCCAGACACCTCCTGTGACAACTAAATGAGTGAAAACACAAACACAAGCTGATTTTAGAACTACTGCACACTCCACTCCAGGCCACCAAAATAAACCTAACACTACAGGAAAGAGAGTCACCCCTCTTTTTGCTTTGTTTTGTTCCCCAGTGCATAGGAAGTTACGCTGACACTGTACTGGGCTCTATTAAGCAGACAGCACGATAAAGACGGTTAGGACATCTTAAGCATGAACAAAATGGGACAAAGAAACAAGAAGTGAGCATGTGCCGATTGAAAAATGGCACCAACAAACTTACCTAAAGCTACTCTGCCACACACCTTCAGCATGTGTGAAAATTTAGCAAGATGTGCACAGAGAAAGTGCTCCTGGGGCTAGCCACCACAGCCACGTTAATGGCCTTCAGGAGCCGGCCCAGGCCCGGCAGGCACAGCACACGCTGAGCTAGGAGGATCAGGGCCACGTGGGCATTGCCAGCTCGGAGCCAGGCTCTCGGAGCCCAGGGCGGTGCCCCAGAGCCCACAGCCGTCTGTGGAACCACACCTGCCAGACAGGTCCCACTGCCCCGGTCGTGTGCCTTGTTTTCTTTAATCACCTCGTCCTCACGGACTGCAGAGCGCCACGCGGATTTACGCAATGCACTAGAGAGAGGTCTCAAGGCCCCGACGCCCAGCCCAGTCATGAGGCACATGAAGGCAGGCCTGGAAGCAGGGCACCAGCGTCACAGGGCACTTTTCCGCACACAGATACCTGTGACCTGGCTTCAAGGAACCTTTCAAGAAGCCAGTTCAGCCGGGCCACCTGGAGATCCCTGAGGCGTCCTGAGGTCCGCAGGCAGGCTTAGCTCATAAAGAACCTCAACCAGGTGCCACTGCTGAACATTCACAGATCAAGAGCTAAATTCTGGACTCCTGGCCTCTACAGAGGAAACAGAACAACTGGCTGTGGCCTTTTGTCCCTGGTAATTGTCACCTCCTGCTATCCGTGCCACTGGGCAGCTCTGCACACACAGGGCAAAGCTGACCTGAAGCCCCACTAAAATCTTGCGCAAGTGACCAAGTGCAACTTCCAGGGCCAGGTCTCAAAAGATGGTGCAGGGCTCCTGTAACAATGGAACACAGGAACCCTCGCACCAGTGCTGTGAGAACAGAAATACCAAAGTGGGTGGCGTGAACAAACAGAATTCTGTTTCCTCACAGTTTAACCAAGCTGATGTTCTGCCATCTGACTCACAGCCATCCTGCAGGGCAGCGCAGAACTGCCCCCGGCCACTCCCAAAGCTGGAGATCTTAGGGAAGCAGACGGCCACCCTGTTCTTCTTCAGAGCAGATGGTGGGTTTAAACAGCCCACCTCTGGTTAACAGCTGCTTTTACCCACAATGGCACCGTGACTTCTCTCACCATCATCACTGTTGTTGGTGTGTACTGTTTTGTCAGAAGTGACTTCTAACTGACCCCCTGAGGAGATTTTCAGAGGCAGTAAATGGCACAGAAGGAGATTAACTGTCTCTCTCACGTTTGAGGAGGCTGAAGTCTGCATTCAGTGCTGGCTCTGGGGGAAGGCTCGCTCTCTGTCAGCTCTGGGGAAGGTCCCCGGCTCTTGAGCTCCTGTCCCCGGGTAAGCTTAGCACGGCTTGGCCTCTCTCCCCCCGCATCTCTGCTTCTTTTGCTTGTTTAATCTTTCTACCTCCAAAGAGATTAACTCAAGATCCACCCTACATTTACCCTGCTTCATCAACGTAGGACACACACACATTCCCAAATGGAATTCTAAGCACAGGCACAGAGGTTAGGATTTGTGACACAGATTTTGTGGGGCTACAATTCAATCTATAACACAGCTGAGCAAATCCAATCCCAGGAGCTGCAGACAGAGAACAGCTTGTACATGTTCACTGCAGCACTGTTCAAGTAACCAAAGGCTCCAACAACCAGAATATCCCACCAGAGATGGACAGACAGACAAAAAGAGGCCTGGCCTGTCCACACACCTGAGTGGTACTCAGCCATGAAGAGACACAAAGCTCTGATCCAGGCTACAACAGGATGAACCCTGAAAATGTCAGGCAGAGGAAAACAAGTCAGTCACTACAGGACAACTAGTTTACGCTCTCACTTATATAAAATAAGCAAATGTATAAAAACCAAAGATTAATGGTTGCCAGTGTCAAGTTGAAAACGAAGACATTTTCGGCTGGGGACAGAGGGCACCGAGTTTATGTTAATAGTCGTAGGATATTTTGGTAGAAAAAAACTCAAACCAAACCCACTACCTTTCCATTAGTTAGAATGTACACAGAGCTAGGGCAGTGCAGAACTGCCCCATAGGGTCTCATGAGGGTAAATTCTACAAGCCGGCGGCCACATCCTTCTCCTGTGGGGTAATAACTGTTTACATAAAGGGACTGCATCTTTCTCCTATGAGGCAGTAGATGGATTTGAACATCTGACCCTTCAGTTGACAGCGCAACACAAAACACATGACACCACAGCTCCTTAAAAATATTGACACCCAAAAACCAAATCCACTGCTGATGACTTGAGTCCAACACATAGTGACGGTCCATCAGGTCTTCCAAGCCTGCAGATATTAACTGGAGGAAACTGTCTCCTTTTTTCACCTGCAGAGCAGCTGGTGGCTTCGAACCCCTAACCTTTTGGTTAGCAGGCTAATAGACAACACACTCCACCCTCCAGGCTCCTTCAGGTACATATAGGGTATTTATGGGTCTATGCACATACAAATAATGCAGATTCAGGCACACTACGCACTGAAGCCGCAAATACAGATCCTGAGGCGTCAACATCTTCCAACAGAGGCTTTCTGCGTTTGAAAGTTTAGGACCATAGTCTCCTGGGAAAGCCCAGTCAGTCCACCAAGGCCATTGATCTGCATCCAAGCAAAGTGACTGGCATCTGGGGGCTTCAAAGTCTGTAAGCAGCCGTGTAAGCCGCAGCCACAGGTCTCAACTCAGGAACGAAGCAGCCAAGGCTCCAAGAAGAAACAAGTCAGCGTGATCCATGACCTTGTCTTCTCGGAGACCAGATGCACTAGGTGGTGCCCAGCTCCCAACACTAACCATTCTGATCAGGACCGTAATAGCAGGTTTTGGATTGAAAGGGGGAAAATGGACCAAAAGGCAAATTACAATATTT